AAACTACAAGGCACTTCTTTGCTTGTGCGCCGAACCGTGTGGAATAATAGCAGGCGTCTTTCGTAACCTCCTTTGCCCTATCGTTATTGGTTTTATTAACTGCCGTGGTAAGCGCTTGTAGCTGAGCGGATAATTCGTCCATACAGAATGCAGAGGTTTTTGGAGACTCGGTGCCTGTTATGGCATCGTTGACGGTTTTTGCGGACACAATCATTATGCTATTTTGTACCTCAAAAATTTTGTCTGCCTGCACGGCGAGGTGATCCAGGCCGCTAGTGTCGTTAACGGCCAAAATACTGCGACCGTTCTGCGGCATTTGTTCAAGAAAGATCGTACGCAGGATGTTTTCGGTTACCATACCAGCGGCCAAACTTTTGAGCCGTAGGAGGTAGTGAGATGGCTTCACATCAGTGAACTCGGTATTGTGAAGCAAACGTCGTAGTTTGCTTTCCCCACTCTCTTCAAATGTATGGAGTAATCGCGTCTTCAGCGCCAAGAACTTAAAGTCAACGGGTGGCGATGTAATTATGTCTGCGACGAACGGTAGAGTGGTCTCGTCCAGATGCACCAGCACGTATCGATACTGCGATATGTCGCTTCGTATTTGTGCTATTTCGAGCGCAGCCTCCACTTGCACGAACCACAACGCACAATTGTCCTTCCAGAAGGGTGGTAATTTTACTGCACGAGTTGCTAAGAGGGTACCGTGGGAGCTGTCGTTGATAGCTGAAGCGAAGTCCGAAACACTCGAAGATGGCATCGTCGATTGTGAGCGCTCGGTGGTCAAGTTTTGCGTCTCGATATTATCCTTCTTCATTTTTAACTCGTGGTCACCAATGTAGCGAATGTCAATAATTCGGTGCTACCGTATCATGTTTAATTATGTTTATTTAATTAAACGAGTATCCAATACAAAGATTATTAAAAACTAAGAACAACTTAAATGACTAGGGTATGTACGAAAGCATTCAGAAAAATCTATATGCTCTGCTTCACGCGCCGTTCGTTGGTTTTGAAAATCTGTCAATTGCCAAAAACGGTTGCCGGTTGTACTGAATTGAACACGGCGCCATCTGAGTGTCACCACAGTACCCATCGTCATACAGTGTAGTACACCATACAGTGGTATCATGTCTACTATTTCTATAATTTTCGGCGCTGAGCAACGCTTGTACCGCCAAGCGAATTTTAATGCTAGGAATGTAGTAAATGTCACAAAATTCTCATCATTCTTGAGTAAAAGCTTTAAATTTGCGTTCTCAAGACTCAAAAGCAAAAACAAAGTACGCGTAAATTTGCAAAGAGTTAAGGCGAATTGTGTTTGTGCCTCCTGCTACGGTATTAACGCAATTGCGCCGCGCAGCGCAGTCTTACCCATGCCTACTAGGGAATCCAATCCCGCATAAAAATCGCAATCCCGCAAACTTGTGGGATCGAGGTCTTCAACTTAA